GAGAGAGAGAGAGAGAGAGAGAGAGAGAGAGAGAGAGAGAGAGAGAGAGAGAGAGAGAGAGAGAGAGAGAGAGAGAGTGGAGGAGTCGGGGATAGATGAGTGGAGGTGATATGAGAAGATATAGAAACATGATGCGGTCCTCAGATGGGCTCCGTCAGAGCTCCGCGTCGCCTAAGTCACCTCTCCGGAGTCTGAGAAGCGCGCCGGCGTTCACTGCAGTTACCATGCTTGGGATGGTCGTGATGTTCCTGTTGGGCTCGTATATCTCGGACGTTCGAGTGCAGGACAGGACTCAGAGGAGGATGATTGCGTGGATGGAGAGAGCAGGGGGAGAGAGCGGTGATGGAGGGGGATACGCAGTATGGGGTGGAGATGACGGAGGAGGAAGAGAGGGAGGAGGGAGAGAGCGAATTGCAATGCGAGGGAGAATTGTCGGTGGCGGCGGAAGTTTCAAGGAAGTATCTACTTCTTCATCCGCGGCCATGGAGGTCAAAGCCTCGTCTGGATGTCGCTGCCCGCGACAGGATCCCGACTCAGATCGCAATTCGGACGTCGGGACGCATTGCGACTGCCCAATCCGGCTGATACCCATAGAGGTGGAGGAGGAGAGGAGGCGTAAAGAGGAGGAGGAGGAGGAGAAGAAGAAGGGGGGGCGGCAGGCGGAGGAAGAGGGGTCGAGGCTGTATAAAGAGGAAGGGAAGCAGGTGATGATATCGACAAGCAACGAAGGTGGTGGGGGTGGGGGAGTAGGAGTAGTAGGAGGAGGAGAAGACGGCGTCGGGACCCACGGCCTTTATCTGAGAGGCGATGCCCAATTCCAAAGCATGGTCTTGCCATTGGCAGAGAAGATGTCGGCTATGATGGCAGCCGGCTCGTTTCAGATACAGCCACAGCTGGATCCTTTCGCTGGAGCTCGACAATTTGAGGGAGTCGCGATCCCGATCACAAAGCCGGATCGCTTATCTAGAGAGGATATGATGCTTCTGGACAAGGCGGCTCGGCCGTTCGCCTCTCCATTCAAGCACCAAGGAGCAGCAGCTAGCCGTGGCGATGGCGGCGAAGATGACGAAGAAGACGACGGAGGTGGAGAAGAAGAAAAAGGAGGAGGAGGAGGAGGAGAAGAGCGAAAAGACGAAGATTCGCAGGGGAACAAGCAAGCCGCAGGAGGAGGAGGAGGAGGAGATCAGCTTGCTGCGGCATCCACAGCCGGGCATGGAGGAGGAGGAGGAGGAGGAGGTGAAAGAGGAGGAGATCACGTTGCAGTCACCGCCATAGCCGGCGGAGATGGCGGAGGAGCTTTTGTGCCTACGACTGCAGGAAATGGAAGCGGCTATGGTGTTCTGAGAGAGATTGGTGGCGCCATGAGCACCACCACGACGATGACGACGAAAACGACAGAAACGACAGAAAGTTCAGCGACAACACCGATGAGGAAAGCAAATGGGAGGAGGAGGAGGAGGAGGAAGAGGAAGATCGCTTTTTTGTTCCTTTTGAGAGGTCCCGCTCCTTTCGCTCCTGTTTGGAAGCGATTCTTCGACGGCCATTCCGACGATGCGTCAATCTACGTCCACGTGGCACCGGGATTTCGCTACAACGACTCTCTATCGAGCTCTGGCTATGGCGGCGGGGGACCCGCGGCCGGCGCAGACGACGTTCTGGCGGCGGAATTGGCCGTCTTCGCTCCCAATGTCATCAGGAGCGAGGCCGTCGCCTTCGGCGAGATCTCCATGATGGATGCAGAGCGACGACTTCTTGCCACCGCGTTGCTTGATCTGAGGAATAGCAGATTCATCCTGCTGTCAGAGTCGTGCGTTCCAGTTCGGTCTTTCGAGGAGGTGAGGGAGAGGTTGTTCTCCACCCCACTCTCCTACGTCGAGGTGCTTCCCGATGGGTATCCCGACATCAGCATCGGTCTGCGCTACTTCCCGGTGCTGGAGCCGGAGGTGCCACGTCAGCTGTTCAGGAAGGGATCCCAATGGTGGGCCTTAAACCGGCGACACGCAGGGCTTGTCGTCGCCGACATGATCTATTACCGAAAGTTCCGTGATTGGTGTAGGGTCACCAACGAGAAAGCGCAGTGGTGTTTCCCAGACGAGCACTACATCCAATCGTTCTTGATGATCATCGATCCAGAGGGATTGAGGAAATGGTCGCCGACCTACGTGTCCTGGCGACCGGTCCCTGGGGAGCCCTTCACTCTGCACCCTACGCCATTTACGCAGGTGGACGTCAACGAGAACCTCATGAACACGCTGAGGAACATGAGAGGTTGCGATCCCAACCCGTCCCATGAGACGTGTTACCTCTTCGCACGGAAATTCGACCCCTCCGCGCTCCCTGCCTTGCTCGCCGTCGATGATGCCCTCCACATGTGGGGGTCTAATTATACTTCCGACCTCTCCCTCGCGTCAGGAGACAGAGGCAGGGCTGCTCCCGCGCGATAACCGGACACCTAGAAAAACACGAAAGTGGGTGGGGGAGAGAGAGAGAGAGAGAGAGAAGAGAAGCGAACGTGTGTGTGCGTGTAAGAGAGAGAGCACGAACGTGTGTGGGTGGGTGGGAGA